TCCACAGTATTTTTGTTTTTTTGTTTCTCAGGAGCGTTTCCTGCCGTTCCTCGACATGTTCCAGAAGGACAGTGTGAGAGTGGAGGTCTGCAGATCCATCATGGAGGTCTTCATCAAGTAAGAGAACCCCTTAAACGTTTTGTGTGGAAATAATTAGATTTATTTGCTTTTGTGACAGAAAGTAACTCCTTCTCACAAACGTGTTTTAAGAAAAAGTATGTTTGTGTCCCGCAGACACCAGGTGGAGCTCACCAGAGACCCGGTCATCCTCAACGCCATGCTGCACATCTGCAAGACCATGCACGACTCCGTCAAGTACGGTGTTTACTTTCATAAGTGTCTGTCGTTATAGTTTTTCTTAATTATAGTTATAAGTTCCTCTTTTACGTTAATGTGCGACTTTTCTTCTTCAGTTTTATTAATGTAGATTGTTGATAAGGACAGATATTGAATCTTGCGGATGTTCGTCTGATCTGCCCGGCGACAGTCTTCAGTTGGTAACTCCTCTGCTCTGTCGTGCAGCGCTCTCACTCTGGAGGATGAGAAAAGATCTTTGGCTCTGCTGATCATCGGCTTCATCCGCATGGTGAGACCCCTCCGCCTTATGTCTGTGGTTTAAAGGATAAAGACGAGTGTCAACAAATCCCCTGAAAACAGCCCCACTGTCCATTAGTCTCGCAATATCTTCTGACCTCTTTTAAAAGGCTAAGTTTGTTTTTTTAAACAGCTGGGCACTTTAAAAGTGTCTCTGTGTCTCTCTGAGTGCCACAGGAAAAACTGATGCATGCTTTTATGTGCAGCAGGCGTGATTACTGTAACGCTCTCCTGTCTGGTTCGACCCAAAAATGTTATACATCAGCTTCAGTTGATGCCGACCAGGACCAGAAGAAGAGAACACACGTTACACCTGTTTTAAAGTCCTTACATTGGTTGGTGTGTATGTGGCACTGAATCAAGATAAACTACACTTCCCACATTCATAATTAGCACCACAGATCTATCATGCTTTGGATACACACACAGTACTTGTTGGCAGAATCAATTCATTGTTGATTTTTTGCCTTTTTATGGATCAGTTGACAGTATGAATCTAAAGTGTTAAACTTTACAACAGTGAGCTGTACAACTCATCCTGTAGAGGTCAAAGCCGTGATTTCTCTTGTCACGTTTTCATATTTTCATGTCCATGTCAAATGTCATGAATGTGATTTCAATATCACAGTCGTTGAGTAAAAGCGGGAAATGTTTTCTCTCTGTTTACTCTTTGATCGTTGTCAATCACGTTGTTCAGGTTTCCTTCGGTCGTGACTTTGAGCAGCAGTTGAGTTTCTGTGTGGAGGCCAGAGCCACCTTCTGCAACCTGGAGCCAGTTCTGGTGCAGCTCATTCACGTCAGTATGAATCTGGTCAAATCAGTGCATGACACTCTCTCACACACACACACACATACACATACACACACACACACACACACACACACAGACACCATCATCATCATCATCTTCATGCTGACCTCGTCTTGTCATTTTGCAGACTGTGAACCAGCTGGCGATGGAGACCAGGAGGGTGATGAGAGGGAGTCACTCCCGAAAAACGGCGGCGTTCGTCAGGGTGAGTGAACGCACGCAGCAGGCGACCTGCAGAGTGTGAGCACAGAGAGCTGTGTTTGGATTGGGGGGAGGAGTCCAGTGTTGGGTTCAGGCGTTGACACCTCATGGCGTAACCACGTCTCTCTCTGCCTCTCTCTCCTCCAGGCGTGTGCTGCCTACAGCTTCATCACCATCCCGTCCCTCAGCAGCATCTTCAGTCGTCTCAGCCTCTACCTGCTGTCTGGCCAGGTCGCCTTGGCCAATCAGTGTCTCTCCCAGGGTGAGCAGGCTGCTTGGTTTCAGGTTTTAAACTGGGATGATTTCCTTGTTTCAACAAATCCTGACTTTTCCTTCCCACCTGTTTTCTTCTTTTGTTATATCTCTTTTCACCCTTTCTCTCCTTCTCTTCTATATTTTCTTTTATTTCCTTCTTTGTTCCCTCCTTGCCTACCTCCATTTCTTCCTCCCTTCCTCCCTTCCGTCCTTCCTCTCCTCCAGCGGACGCCTTCCTGAAGGCGGCGGTCAGTATTCTCCCAGAGGTTCCTCGCTCCATCAGCGTGGAGGGGAAACTTCGCTCCTCGGAGAGCTTCCTACTGGACTTCATCAACAACTTCCTGGCCACGCTTCTGGTTGTCCCGGTAACACGCTCAATTCTCTCTAATCAGCCTTCTAGTACAGAAAGATAAGGAAAATCGTCCTGTAGATCTTCCACACTCAAAGCTCAGTTGTGGGATCTCACGTGGGTTTAGAGGAGATGTGTTAGACCCATAATCCCTCACCATATTCCCTGTAGCTTTACAAATCTGTGAGTGTGTGTTTGCGTCTACAGGACCATCCGGAGCACGGCGTGCTCTACCTTGTCCGTGGTTTGCTCAACATGGTCCAAGATTACACCTGGGAGGACAACAGCGACGCCAAGGTGCGGGTCTACATCAGCGCTCTGCCCCTGCTGGCCGCCATGAGTCAGGAAACCTACCTGTACTCCGTCCCCAAAGGTACGTGCACACACACACACACACACACACACACACTGTGCACACACGTTCTATTTTCTTTCTTCCAGACAAAATCCAGATGACACAATTAATCTTATTTTTCTTTGAGCTCTTATTCTTGGAACACACTATCATTTTCAGAACTCCCTAATCCTACTTCATGGATTAACCCAATATTTAATTCCTGTATAAATTTAGATAAGCAAGTTTTAAGTGTTGTAACACTTCGACTGCTTCATGATGAGAGGCTGTGCTTTTTTATCTTTCTGTAAGCTGTAGTGGTTCATAGAGGGATTTTAATGTGAGCGCCGCTTTATGACGGATCTGTTCATCAAAAGCATATTTCTTTTCCCTCTCTTTCCTGGGCCCAGTGGATTCCAATGAGACACTTTATGGAGGAGACCCCAAGTTTCTATCTGAAATCAACAAGCTGTGCGAGACCCTGATCGGACAGATCCTGGATCACCTGAAGGCTCTCGGTCGGGACGAGGTGACAGACACAAAGAAGCTTCTTTATTTTCTCATCATGCTGCTCAGTTTTCCAATAACTAAAAGTTCAGTCATTTGTGTGTATTTGTATTGCTATGACGCTGCATTCAAGTACACATGGGACAGTCCAATCATCGCCAGTTCTAAATAGCACTTGTGTTGAAATTCTGGTTTCCTCCTTGCAGCAGAGCACACGGCGTCAAGGCTCGCTGGCCTTCTCCCTGTTCGGTGTCCTGTTGTCTCACGGTGACCTGAGGAACAACAAGCTGAGCCAGCTGGCCATCAACCTGTGGAACCTCAGCCACAAACACGGACACTGTGAGACGCGAATCTCAGTGAGTTCACCCCCACGCCTCAAACATATTCCAACGCATTTCCTCAAACGGCTCTACCCGTAATTATTCAAATGTTTAGCCACCTCCCTGTGCGAACGCAGCCTCACCGTGTTCCCGTCTCGCTCCTCCTGCTCCAGGTTCGCACCCTGGAGTACATCAAGCACCAGGCTCAGCAGCCCAGCATGACTCACCTGTCGGATACGGTCCAGAGGCTCACACTGCAGTCCCGCACCTGAACACCAGCCTCTGCGAGCTTTGTCAAAACATTTGTGCACTACACGTCAGGTTTGTGTAAATAAAAGGTGACAGGAAGCACAAAGAAGAAGAACAAAAAATGCCTTAATGTATTTAGTGTGAGGAGACTTTATGGACATTTGAGGGGGTTGTGAATGGAGAAAAACCCCTTTGGATGCTACAGATTCTCACCCAGTTCGGATCAATTTAAAAAAAAAAACCTAATATTAATTCCTCTAGACTGAGGTTTTGCCAAAACTCCTTTGTGTTTAGCATTTCAAAGCTAAAAACAGAAACTGATTCAGCTATCATAGGGAGCTATCACAGACGATTAAAGCCTGCAAGTAAAACCTTAGAAAAAATTATTTAAAGATCAAATGATTCAGTTTGCAATGAAGAAAAATGACATTCCTCTGCAGGTTTTCTGGTCTTTAAGTCTCGTCACAGATGGGCGACTTATTATTTTCATCTATCACCATCCATACAATATATATTATGTAATAATATCGGTTTAATTATAGTTTTAACATGTTGTTCTCTTCATGTATTTGTAGAAAATAAACATTCACTCTGCTTTGTATTTAAACACTGATCATGTTTATGAATGTATTTTTAACGTTGCTTATCAACTGCAAATATTTCTTTTCAGTCTTTCATTAACAGTTTTGATTCTCCTCACTAACGCTCCACCTGTCAGCTGTTTGATCCACTACACGGTGCATTGAAAAAAAACGGACAGGAGAGCGTTTGTTTGAAGACATTCTCAAACTCTTCTCAGTTGTATTTTATTTATTCAATTAGTGAATCATTGAAAAGGCAAACACTCCCCTTAAGTTCTCAAAGGAAAAAAAAATATCAAATACAAAAGCTGTGACGATGTTCACTGAGACACACACACACACACACACGCACACACACACACAGTAGGCCTTTGGTCACACACCTTTTTTTTACTGCCAGATAATTAAAAGGAGAATTTTGACAAAACTGACTTTCAGGTTGGTAAAAAAAAAAAAAAAAAACATATCTCTAGAAGTTTTGTTCAGTCTTTCCCGACGTGTCAAACGAAGTGAAGCTTTGACAGCTGACACTTGTGTGATATGAGTAGGAGTAGCATGTTCTGTGACATTGTTTAGTTGGTTGATCTCATTGGAAAATGTGTCGTTGAGGAACCTTGGAGTCAGTTTTGTCTTGAATTTCCCTTTTGGATGGTCGATGGTGGTTTGACAAAGAGGCCTGTAGGAGGAGCTGGTCACCAGAGAGAATCCTCAGTCTGAACTGGGACTTTTCATGACGTAAACATTTTAATACAATTCTGTAAAAGTCATTTAAATAATTGTTTGCAGGTTGTTTTTTTTGTTTTTTTTCAGTCTCTGATGACCGCTGCTGTTAACCAACTCTTTGACTGCCACATCACTGGTCTCTTTGTTGTATCTTCAACATTAGATAGATGCAATCACAGCAGAGCATGTACACCGACAACTCAACACTATTCTATCTGTCCTTCTGTAGCACTAAGACATTGAGCCAGCCAGTCCTCTATGGAACACATACACAGCCAATATTAAATAAATACATTCTGACATAGAAGTAAAATGTGGAATAATTCAATACATTATTAAAACATTATGATGAAATGGTATTTCAGCAATCTTTATTTTATCATCATTTATTTTATACATTTTTCATGAAAATAAAAATGTTGAAATAACACTTCCAAAATATTTGTTTTAAATCATGTATTGAATTAGTCATATTTATATTTTACTTTATGTATCATTTAATGTTGGCCCTTCTGGACTCCCATAGTCCCACACAGATAATTACATAGAAGTTAATAAACACTATTCTACATTGGAAGACCTGTGGACATTCCTAGTTTCCTAGTATTTAATAAAAATTTTGACTTCACAGGGGGGATTTGACCCCTCTAGATTATCTGGAGTACAGTTAGGGTTTTAAAAAATAAAAATAAATCCTAAAACAGCAAACTGACAAGACCTGGACTGATCGAATGTCACTACGAGGACAAAACGAAGCTGAAGGCTGAATGATGTGAGCAAAGAAAAAACGAGCTGTCAGGGGGAGCAAGCAGAGTGAGTGTGTTCTCTGAGGGCCGATGAAGTTAACACTGATGGGCAGCAGCTAATGTATTGTGCACAGGCTGAACTACTGACTGATCCAACTCCAAGAGGAACTGTTTAACAGAAACAAAAAGGAGAAGAGAAACGGAGACAAAAGACAAAGCCAGAAATAGTCAGCTAAGCAGCAGGCTTAAATATCAGCATTTTATAACATGCAAAGCAAGATTCACTCCAACAGACGGGTTTTCACAGTGTCTCATTTTTGCTCCTCTCATCTCCAGATCACTTTAAAAAGAGCCTAAGTGCTTCAAACATGTCACTGCCAGAGTTTTTAAGGGACCTCTGGCATCTGTAACGAGGCCGATAGTGGATCTTCCAGCACAATTTCTCTCAGAGATGGTGCAAACAAGCTCAGCAGCAGTTCAGCAAGTGCACGTTTAAAAAGTGAGACCTCTACACTGGAGCTATTTGTGTACAGACAGCTCGATGTTTGTAGCAATTCACTTGAATAATAATAATAAAAAAAAAAAAGACAGCCACCACTATGATCCATAGAGGAGACACTGAGCAGAAAAGATTTGTTTGGTTGAAATTCAAGTTGCAAGATGACCTCTGATAATAAGTTACACAGATCTCTGATGTCTTTTTTTTTTTTTTGCCCATACAGACGATGGACAAACTAGAGATGAGAAACTGAAATGTGACCTTGGCTACAAGAACAATTTAATTTACCACTGACAGAAGAGACTCTTAACGGAACAAGTTGTTGATAAATGCCAACAACCGCAACAGCCACGGCTCTGATCGAACTCCGTGTGGCTGTATGATAAAGAAAACAGATGGATATTTGTAGTGAGTTGCCTAAACCCTCATAATGATGTAATGCACATTACGCAAAGGGGGTTTCACTCGGCATCCTATCCTCTCCGCTGGGAGACTCCCATCTCTTTCGGAGCAAGGTTTTCACATGGAGAGGACAGTGGGTTATCTGCTGTTTAAAAATTATAAACCCTAACCACAGAGCAAGAGTCCCAAACTAACAAAATAATGATTAAAATAAAATAGTTTAGTTTTAATAATAATAATAATAATAATAATAATAATAATTCAACACAGGAAGAGTTTGCAGTTTGGCGCAGTCAGTCCAGGCAGTGCTGACGGGGGTGTTTTGGTGGCCTGATTCATATTCTGATTTTGGACTGGGTAGGTGGGATGGGGTTTCTGGAAACAGCGCGCCTCTGAAAACATCGACCAGAGCCTCGCCCCATCCCTGTTGTCGAGGTGACGAAGGGAGGCGGGGTGGTCTTCCTCTTTTTTTTATTTTTTGTGTGTTCATTTGTTCTCCTTGTCCTGGGCTGCAGGCTCAGTCCAGCTCTATGGGACTGCTGTCCTCCTGGGCTTCTTCAGCCCCGTCATCCTCCTCGCCAGCCCCCATCAGGCTGTTCAGCAGGTTTCCTGCACGATGAAACATAGTGACCGTCATTCTCACAGAAAACGTTCAAATCAAAACCATCCAGTGGTTTATCTATGGAAACCCTTACAGTTGAAAAGGAGCACAAACACGGTTGATCAGTAATTTACGTGCAAATAATCCGTAACATCTGTTCAGATGAGCAAAGCCTTGGTCCACTCACCTAGCAGTCCGCCATATGATGGGGACTGTTTGGGTGGAACGCCAAAGAAAAGCTGTCCTATTCTGTCGAGATACTGAGGATCCGGGAAGATGTTCAAAGGAAGAAGAGCACAGAGAGACACGGTTACAGAATTACAGTCCAAGACGTGGACTATGTTTACATGGAAATATTTCTTTAGAGGGTATTAGACAATATTTCAAACAGGACACTAGGTGGGTTTCCCTCCACCTGTTTTTATACCTTTCAGTAAAGCTTCAGCTCAACTAAAGAGACTGAATGTAAAGTTGCTTAAATTAATACATGAAACAAACATAGCTGTCGTATTTCCACCATGTTTTGTACATTGTTTTTCACCATTTTTTAAATTTTTTTTACCATATCTTGTTGCGGCCTCTTCTTCTGCAGTAGTTTTAATGGCACAGACGGAGAGTTTGTGCCATTAGTTGTGTATCTTGATGAACCAACCTAACAAGGCTTCGGTGAGAGTTCAATGAGGGAGATCTCTTCCCTCATTTTGCATTGTGCCTCTATGGGTTAATATTGGCTATATACTTCTGATCTCTCTCACTTCCACCGTTCACAATCCCGACATCGTCATATCTGACCAATGACCTTTCTGCCTGTGCTCCTCGAGCCAATCGATTACTGGATGCCGTTCTTTAAATGTCACTGCAAGTCCGCCCGTCTTTCAGGCTACTATTGCACAACCTCCCTGATGTCCAAGGACACTTGTCCTGCATCAACAACCTGGCTGGCTCTACTACACCACCACCAGCATCTGTACTCCAGGGGATCCCATCTATCGACATATGGGCCTACATTTAATGAAGATGCTTTACCTCGATTTGATCTCTCCTTATTGAAATATTCACATGGATGGAAATGTGCATTAATTTGGATTTTCAGAATTTCTTAAAATGTGTTTAACATTTCCAAATTAGGTTGCAGTCAAAGTATGCAGACATAATACTTCAGTCACATTAGACTAGCTCGTTTAATACATGATGGATAGGTGACATGGTAAAGAAATGACTCACCTCATTATACATGGGGTCCCTCTTCAGGGAAGGTTGATATTGTTCACATAACACTGTGAAAACTGTTAATTTACCCCTGAAGCAACAAAGTGAAGAAAAGTTTTTAATACTGCATATTATTATCTTCAATATATTTAGCAAACACAAATCATTTACTGATGTCAAGCATTAGAGGAACAAGTTCAACAGTTAAGACAATTTTAGATACTACTGTTTTTTGTTTTTTTTTTCAAAATTTTCGAGCATTAAATAAAACATTTTCCCTCACCCATCCACTGCCAGCAGCAGAAACCAGATAAAGTTTAGTAGAGGCTGGACGAAGGGAGGGCCCTTCTCTATGGACGGGTGTTTCTCTGTGTATGTGCTGAACACCACAGAAGCGCTATTTTTGTTCTTTAAGCAGAGGAACCTGGAGGGGTTGGGAGTTGAGAGAAGGAAAGCGCAGAAATAGAAAATAGTACAGACAGTAAGAACAAAAAGGAGATAAGGATGGGAAAGAAAACATGACAGAAAGTGTGACACACACACACAAAGGATGAAGGAAAGCAGAGAGAAAAGAAACACAGAGATTTTCAAAGACACTTTAATCAAACTGCTGACAAACAGGAAATGGATATGACTGCAGGCTGGCATGTTGAAAGACGATGTATCAGTGCCACTTTCTCCCCTGCACGCACAGATCCTGAATCTATACGGTAAAACTAATAAGCGGCTTGGATCACATTTACATTTACATTTACTGCACATTACAGACAACTGCTGCACTCATTTACAGATTAGAGGTTTGACATTTGAGACACTGACTTTTCAATTTCTACACTGTGACGATATATAAAAAGAAGAGCAGTATGTTATAAGAGTGCAGGAGTGACACTTACTGTAGGACGGCCTGCGCCACAAACATGTCGACCTCACTGCGGAAGCCTCGTGACGCTGAATACTCCACCAGCATCTGTGCGCAGCCTTCCCCATCAGACGAGTGCAGGAAGTGGTAACGGGACTCACTGTAGTTTTGCTCTGAACACACAAATGTCAATATTGTGGCTATTATGACATTCACTTGTGCTCAGGGCAGCTGGTGTGGTAGAAAGAAGCACAAACACCAGCCACATGCTGAGAGAGAGGACGGTGGCCTAAGCTGATGTGTGTCAACAAGCATCATGATGCTGCTGTTGTGTGGATTCACACATTAGGCTTGTTATGACTGACTTAATACTGGTTTAACGGTTACAGGTTCTCAACTATCCTTTGTGGTAAGCATTTGTTATTTTCCCCTACACATTATAAAAATGAATGATTAACTGATTACCTTTCCACAAGGTGACAGCTAGCAGCTGGTGTAGTTTTGGGTGACCCAACTTGCCGGACCCTCCTGTGGACCATTTCAAGGCTCTGGAAACAAACGCTACTCTCTCTGGGGAGTTCTGGTCCATCAGGCTGAACAGCTTAGCCAGGCTTTCTGCTCAACAAACACACAGTCAACCCCGACAACATCAGAGGATTCTTATTTGAAAGGTCCTGCCGTGCCGTCCTCCAGGAAGGTGGACTGAATGATCGTCATGATAATCTAAGGCGGCAGCATTTATCAGTGATTATGTAAAGAGGAGATGTCACAAATTGATCCAGCAGGTCAGTACAGGATCAAGGCCAATCAAAAGTGGAACTGTATTGGATATATACAGTGCTTTCGAAAAGTGTTCAGACCCTTTCAATTGTTTCACATTTTGTTAAGTTGCGGCTTTGTGCCATATTAAAAAAAAAAATTCCCTCATCAATTCACACTCAATACCCCATAATGACAAAGTGAAAACAGAATTTTATCAACTTTTGCAAATGTATTAAAAAGGAAAATCTAAAATATCACATTGACATATGTATTTAGACACTTTCCTACACCTTGACTGGAGTCTACCCGTGGTAATTTCAATTGATTTGACATGATTTGGAAAGGTACACACCCGTCTGTATAAAAAGGTCTCACAGCTGACGATACATATCAGAGCAAAAACCATGAGGAGGAAGAAACCGCCTGCAGAGCTCAGATAGGACTGTAGGTGAATTGGTGTAATTCAAAGGCTCAAGGTTGCTACTCACCTAATATTTCATCTTCAACTTTTGTCTCAGATTTTTCCAACACTTCTAGCACCAGCATGGACAGGTCTGCTGCACTGTTTTGCTGCAGGTGAAAACAGAACAAATTATGTATTTTGTAATCTATATTTGTATTTTCAGGACTACGGTGCATTTTCAATCAATCTATTATGAATTCACAACCAAGCTGCCTCTTAGGTTGCAAACCAGAAATTCCTGTCTACAAGTACACAAAATTCTGATTTCTGTCTGTAACTATATAAAGGCTGGAAGATAAATACAGCCCCCCAAGGTTGCTTTCTAACAGAAATCAAGTGTTGCATATACCTGGTTATAGCTGAAGAAGAGTAGAGCGCCATTGTACATCAGCTCCCTGGCCTCAGCATGTTTTGCCTGTGACATGTACCTGATGGAAGAAAGAAGTGTTAGCATTACACATTAGGTTAAACTATCTGCTTGTCGAGACCACCACGGGCTCTGTTTGCATCTTTTGAGACTATTAGATACATGCACGCTGGTTTTGCTTGACATACACAACAAGGGATCAATGACTATAATAACTTTCTTTAAGCCTACAGGCCAGCTGCAGTATTTTGCATGTGTGGCAGGATTTCAGGAGTAGATATTGCAATTATGACTTTTAGTCATGACTAGGAGCAAGCCAGTGATCCCTCAGTGGTATGGAGAAGGTTTGTCTTTAATTGGATTGGATTAGAGCAAATGATCTTGTCTAATAAACTATACTGGAGGTATATATCCAGCCAGTTTGGCAGCACAACTAATCTGTTCATTACCACAACAGCGTCCAGGTCCCTTGGAGCAGATTTACACCATTAAGGGTGTGAATGTTCCTCAGTGAAACACATACACTGGAAAATAGACCAATCATGACTAGGCTCATCCTAGATTCTACAAATCTGACCTGTGGTCATATAAGCATTGCCAGTTATAAATTACGACAAAACAAATGTATTAAGCAAAAACATGTCTGGCCATCACAGCCCAGACTGCGGTGGTGCAGTGTGGCTATCTGGCTAAATGCTAACACAGCTGGACAGCTTCAGCAAACATGTTTATTAGACAACGGCGGTTGGCAAAACGATAATCCCCTATATTCTATTATTTAGCACGTGAAATATCTTTACCGATTGCACACAAACTCAAGCCTGTCTGGCTGTCTTGCGTTAGCAGCCAAGCTAACTCTGCTTCGGCTATCATTAGCTGCTAGCTATGTTGCTAACACGTAGCTAACCAACTATCCGTAGGTAGCCGTAGATCGACAGCACAGCTGTCCAAACAAACAGACGGAACAACATCAGTGGGTGGGTCCGTGGTGAAATTCAACCAATCACAAACGGGCAGGTAGAGCAGCAAGGTTGACAGCAGAATGATCTGGAACAGGCAGGCCCCAAAGCCAAATGACTATATACAACTGCATCTACGATCACGAAACGATGTCTTACCTAAAAAATAAAGTCCTGTACATTTGATGTGCTTCATAGTAATCCCCCTTTTCTACACTGGCTCGCAGTTTTCCTTCGACCCTCTGGACGCCTCCACGGTTTCTGGCACTGGAGCACCTCAGAGACTCCTGCTCCGACATCGTCGTTGCTCCGCAGCAGCGCTCCGTCTCAGTCCAAATGTTGACACTGGGAAACCGGAAAGCCTTAAACAGAACGGACCCTCTTCGCTTGCCGTAGCCGGTGAGGCGTAGTAGGGAGGTTGTGGGAACACGGGAAAAGTTCACGAAACCTTGTGACTAGCAAAACACCATGAATGCAGTATAGTAAGGGAAGATGGGGGGAAATAAAAATACTCGGTGGTTAGTGAGGGATGTGGTTTCATGCGGTTTGAGCGGTCACTCCCTCGAGCCAGTTCTTGTTCTGTTTTTTCACCGTTATTGACTGCACACTTTGTCAGTTTATTTAAGAAGCAGGCCCTCAGAAATAAAAAAGGCGCTTTGTTAAAAAAAAATTTAAAAAATACTGTAATTTCAAAGTAATTTAATATAAGTCTATTGCACAGTACAAAGTGTATGTTATTTTAGATGGACTCGCACATTGAACGGCACATGAATTTTTGCATTTTAGATAATATTTTGCATAAGGAAATGCAGAATTTTCTGTAATACAATTATGGTCTGTCAACACTTTAATTATTTTTTATTTAGTATTACACTTCTATAAAGCTAGGGTGCTCAAGAGAGAGACCGATTAAAAACAAGGATGGTCAAAAACAGTTGTTTATATCCAGACTTTTTTGTCACTATAGGTGAGGCCCTAAAATTACTGCATCCTACATTTCCCATAATATAACTAAAGCGTCATTTCATTGGACGCTACCTGCCGGGAAACGCCCACATCTTTCAAATTCCATGTTCCCAGTTTGTAATGCTATTCAATGAGGATTAACACATGACAAGAAGTTCATCTTTAGGTGTTTGAAGATAGGTGAGGCAAGAGTAAATTTATTGTAATGTGTAAATTAATCATGGATTAATGGGGTTGAAAAGGCTGCTGTATATACCATGCAGCGTATCTTGTGAAAGGAAATGGAGGAAATGATAGGTCAAAATGCTACAGAGCAAAAAACTTTTAAACAAAAAACATTTAAAAACAGCAAACAGCTAGCTGAAGTGCTGAGCCATTGTAGATAAACACACTATAGGGAATATACCTTTTCTTATTCTCAAGTCTGATACCTTGTAATGATGTGAATCCATCCCCCTGTTGTTAATTGCTCAAAATTATTTACATTGTGTATTATTTTGGCCAAAAAACACCTCTAGTTCATTAATCTAAATAAAAAAAAAGGAAAGTATGTGTTGACTTTACTGTAAAAAGACTTGTTACTAGACTTGTTGACCAGTTTGTGCTTTAGCAAGATGGATAAATGATAAATGCATTTATTGAGAAACAAAACACTCAGAGAAAAGAATTACAGTTAGGCAGGGAGTTCACCATGAACCCTGAAGCTGTAGAGGCAGGTGTTGTCCATGTTTCCCCAGTTGTTCTCAATCTGTAGCTTCACATATCTGAAGACACCACTGTCTGGATTCTGGCAGGAAACAGGAGGGAGAACATTGATAAAGACGAGCAGGTGCTCCTGGCATCTGTGTGGACCACATGGTGTTTACATGCTTTGCATCTGTTATTAATAGCAGCTCTACGTCTATCCTATAGTTAGTTCAGCTGAAGCAGTTTTCTGCCATGAAAACGGTGGGAAGAGGTTTTGTTCTCAGTAGAGCACAGTTAAAGCTATTCCCTACTTTTGCAGTGTGTTTGAATGTGATCGATTAAAGAAACGTATGTGCATGAGAGCTGTACTGTATCACACATATCATACTTACTGGCAGTTTGAAGGTCTGAAATGCTGCACCGTCTTGATCATAAGCCAGTGTACCCAAATAGGACCCTTCCTCATCCACGGTCCTCATTCCCTGAAAGATGAAGAGACACAGAGATCAGCTGATTTGAGTTGCACTGTAGGAGCAATAATACGAGGACGTCTTCAGGATAACAAGAGAAAATGTGTAACTTACGTAGATAGAAAACTCCCTCGGTGCGCTTGCGATGTAGCCATAAGGCGACTGGCTTTTTGTTATGTGGCCAAGTGTCACATGAGTGATGGAGATCGGGTGGGACAGTGAGATGAATAAATGTCCTTTGTCCCCAGAAAAGCACCAGCATTGTCCAGGATGTAATGATGTGTGTCCCTGAGGGGCAGGAAATCAAATGTTTCAGTGTCAACAGTTCATAAACTTTAATCATTTTATATTAAATACAAGTACAATACACAGTAAATCAATCACTGTTAATGTAGCATTTTATGACTGTGGCTGTGTAACTCCTACCTGAATCACTTGTCGCTGTCTTTTGGTCGAATAATCCCAGTGAAAAATTCTATCCCACATTAGTCCTATGTGTTTTAGAGGCCAATATGTATCTGTAGATAAATCGTGCAAAACTCTGGCACCTGCAGACACAACCAAGGGAACACGTACAGAATTAGAAATCAACCGAACATATTCTATTATAAACCACACGTATGAATCATGATGACACAGATGAAGATGGTAAAGATTTCTTACCTTGCGATTCTAAGGCAAAGTTAGGTATTGTGTCTGCCAGATGAACAGGCATGTTTATCTGCTGTCTAAGTGATTGTACTTCCTGTAGGGTTGTTTTTAGTTGAACATGCATGTCTGTTATTTCTGATAGACACAAAAGAAGAAGGTTAAAAATTTTAGTTTCATTAACAAGGAACCTCTCAGTTCTAGGTTTTACTCATGTTCTAGAAATGACTGACTGCAGCAGGAATTGTTAAAGCACTCACCAAAAGCCAAAAGGAGGCTGAGGAAAAAATAGCTGACATTCTTCGCAGATAAGCTACTCACTGTTGTGACCACAGAGAGGGACAAACAGAGTGTTTAGAGCTTGATAACAAAGTAAAAACATATCTGAAACTGGTCTTTCTCATATAAAGTGCCTTGGTTACAGGCGAGAGGCAGTCCTTACTGATGTTTCTTCTGGTCTGTGTCCCAGTAACAGATGTCTCATGGGTTTTGGTATTATGTGTCTCTGTGGCGTCATTCCCAATATGATCCTGATTGTGCTGCGTCATGTTGTTCAAAGAGTGTGCATTGCGGTGCAGGCGGCGACGGCCTCTCCGTCTGCTGAAGATCCTAAAAGATACAGTAGAAGTTAGAAAAGACTGGCGTTTGTGACGATTGAGAGTGTCGTACACACACACAGCAGGTTTACATGCAGAAAACACCATGTGCACACAAACACCGCAACAACTTACCTGTATAAAATCTCCCTGTAGGAAATACCTGGATTCCCCCACTCTGTATAATACCCTGCTTCTAACAGACGATGACTTCTTCGCACCATGACTGGAAAATGTTGGAAAAGGCAGAGGAACAATCATCAGTGCCACATACTGATGCAGTTATACACTTTTATATATCATATATATATTATACATTGATGCTGTTGTTCTGTCAGCACATGCATTTGTCTTCCCTCTTTGTATTAATAAGCACCCTCTTATCAAACTTACATATGAAGTGTGAGGTCTGCAGCTCTGCTGGTAACTTACTTCTTACTTTTATGCTTGGAAAAACTGAGTGTGAAAATCCAGGTCAAGGTCAAGAGATTAAAAAAACAACTTAAAATACTTGTTTTTCCTAATCGGACGTACATCTAAACAGTGGAGAGGTGCAAACAGACTGATAATGAGGCTGAAATCTGCAGCTATAAGGTCTGGTTGTTCAGCTGTGACATATAATTCTATCATTCTCTCAGCGTCATAGTGGAATGTTCCATCATTCTCTGTGTGAATTATTTATTCATTATTATTTAACTCACACATTCAACTGAGTTCTCCCACTTGAATTAATGTGACATTTTAGTTCATATTTCTTTTGTATTATATCGAAGTACTATTATGCACCAAATGTATACAAACCACCCAAATACACTAACATTTTTCTTTTTTATCAGATTTGATTTATTGTGCTATGTCAATTTTTTTATTTACTTTAATAACATCAAAAGTTTTTTTCAGTATGCCTAGCTTATGTTACTAAAAATTAAACTAGGTATTAAAGTTGTTTGAGTTATTAAAAGATAAAAACTAAATAAAGTAGTCAGACCTTGTACCTGAAACAGTATATTTGTTTACAAGAATGTACACAATGCCATTTCAAATCAGCAAACACAACATGAGTTCGTAAAAAACTTCCTAAGAAATTATAAGGGAAAATCTGGATCATTAAATTAAAGCTTTTTCAATATTTCAAATAGCAATGAAAAGGGTGTATTGAACAAGGAATTAAATATAATGTAAAGTGGTCTAACTTCACACTGTAGTCACGTGTGTATTTATAAGACAAAATCTAAATGCACTTTTTTGCCAGTAAATGCATATTTATCATTATTTATCGTTTTTAGAAAAATGATAAATAATGAACTTGGGTTGTCAACAGTGCTTTACAAACCTGTAGCTCTCGCAGTACATGTAGTTTAACACTAGATGGAGACAAAGATCGTACAAGAGGCTGTATCTCCAGCTTTAAGTACTGCATACTTCCACCTCTTATTTACTCTCTCCGTTTCCTCAAGTTAAAAACCATACATATTGTATTGGAGACAGCATTATGTCTGACATTTGACGGACAGGACTCCGCTGTACTGTCTCCCGCTGAAGAAGGAGCGGCGGTGAACTGGCGAGGAAGGTGATGTGAAGGAAGTGGCTTTTGCGTCCCACGCAGAGGAGGGTTTTCCGGTTAAAGTTTCCTTTGTGATTCGGAAGTGGCAGTGTGATGCCAAAGCCGTTTATCCTTACAGACACAACACACAAGTGGCGACCATGATAAGTAAGCGAAAAAATACACACATTAAATAGATAGCTTCAGAGCACTAGTTTGTTTGTGTTTGTTTGACACGAAACCCCAGCTTGACAGACAGACGTGACTGCGCTGAACAAGCTAGCTAGCGGGTAGCGGCAATGCCTGGCTGTTATAGCATGCTAACGGTAGCTAGCTAACTTGGGGTGTCTGGCTGTCTGTGGTGAGGAGGGGAGCCGAACCGGTTATAGGTGTAGCCAGCGCTAGAAATAAGTACGTCAATCTGTAGTTGGTAACCTTTCGCGTTCATTAAGTCGTGTGTGTGCGATTTTACATTGTAGCCTCACTTATGTCTAGACTGTTTAGGTTAACTCCCACCCAGACAAGCTAACAATAGCTTAGCAGTCTGTCTGTTTTGGACAGTGACAGCTGTAGGCTGCTGCCCCATGACATCAGTGGAGAGGCCTCCTGCAGCGTGGATTCGTCTAAACCTTATTATGAGATCTCATGATTATTGTTCAACCTCCTCCTTTCGCTACACAAGAGCCTTTTTCACATGGTCACAGTTGTACAAATAGTTTTGCTGCTCACCATCATAATCCGTAGTAGAGCAAAGCAATGGACTGGAACAGTGAAACTGGTTTGGCAGGGAAATAGATAAAAAACACAGTTATTCTCTGTTGAAGTTTTGCTTTTTTTTTTCTTTTCTTTAACAGAACCGATCGAAGCTCTGTCCTTCTGAGATGGGAAAACGCCCCTTCAGGATTTTGTAAAACAGGTAAGCAGCAAGCCTAGTTCCTAATCTGGCCTAGTTTATGCCAGAGTAGTAGGGAACTACATCCTTTACTTGGCTGCTGCGATCTGAGAAGGTGTTGCAAATCTTGGTAGTGGTTTTCCTGTGTCTGATAGTGAAGAAAGCATGGCTGTCAGCAGGTGTGTACCTCTTTGTGTGCCAGTGTAACTGTGATAATATCTGACAGGCTAGTGTGGGCGTGTGGAGAGGAATGCTGGAGTACTTAGTATCTCTGCTTAATGCACTGCACCAGAACAGTAAACACTGCATGTTCGAACAGCAGCACTCTTTTATGAAAATAAGGATGAAGCAACTGATGTTGCAGTGAGCATCTCTGAGAGGCCATCTGTTTAACTATGCAACACCTGAGATCAAGGTCACTGTAGTGTCCAGGGCTCTGTTAGGTGAGATTATTTAGGCATCGCTGTATACACTGCAGAAATATAAACCCACATATACTCTCTCATCTCATTGCATCTTGCTGACAGGAGGTATGCATTTCGTAGTGATGTTTTGCATGAATCAGAGATAACATGTTGTCACCGTGAGAACACAGTAGCTTGCACCATTATTAAGTACACACTGTGTCCTAGATACTAGTAATGCATTATCAAGTGTTTGTCAAAGTACTGTGTAATTTCCCCCATAGAAATATTTTGTCATACTGCATCCAACTGACCTTTTCTTGACTGAATAACCGTTGCGTTTTTAGCACCACTGGATTTCACTGCCATATTATGTCCTTCCCTTTCTAGATCAATTTCCTGGTTTGTTTTTCTCAGTCTTAGTGGAGACACTTGTGGCTCTCCTTGCTACACTTGCTTTGGCTGTTAACATTTTGTAACGTGATTTTCAAGGTTGTCATACACGCAAAACTCAATTTTGTATGCTTTAGCTTAGTGTTCTTCTTGGCAGTAGGCGAGTAAGATAAGCAGATATACCAGAGGATTTGCTCATTGATACTGTCGGGACATGACAGAGCAATGGCAAACTCTTTGACTGAAGGATATCAGATGGCATAATAAGTAAACAGGATGGTGATTACTAAGATTTATTTTAGTATGTCTTTATTACAGATACTAATTTAGGTTTAGATATATCATCATGTCTGTATAATGTATGAAGAAACCCTTCATCCCATACAAAATAATGCTACTCTGAAATCCATGCAACAAATTGACAAATCTATCATTACTACTTGGGGGAGAAAAAATGAGAGAACTTCAACAAGCTCACAGGGTAGTATGGCTGGTCTATTGAACCTCAGTAGTTGTTTGCTACTGACTGAAATGACTTCATTAGATGTGTTTTCACCGCAGGAACTTTCCCTGGGGAATATGAACTTTCTGAGGAACTCAGTTTCCCTACCTGCATTTCTAGCGGAGGAACCAGCGTCTAAATTAAGTTCTTGGGGGGGATTGTTTTTCCCCCGAGAAAGATCCCTGCTTGGAGTGTAGTACCTTATGAAGGTTCAGGAACTTTTAAGGTGGGGCTTACAGCGCTGAATGTTGCTGATTGGTTAGTTACGCTGGCATTAATCAGGATGGAGCAACAAAAGTGAAAGGACTGTGATTTCCTCAATGTTTTGCATTACTGTGTATAGCAGTCACATAAATAAAGTGCTCCATTGCTTAATAAGTCCTCATCACACGTTATTTTCATGGTGGGCAGACATAGGACGTCAGGAAGGGCTGTTCGGTCAGCTTGTTTCTCTGATGTCATCCAATGACTAAAATCCTTCATTTGGTTAAAAGTTACAGTTTATAAGGTTTTAAAAAGTGACAGTGATGCGACTTGAAACTGGCACTTGTGGATAACTCTGAATATGCAGTTAAAAAGTATAATTTGTATCATATGCTAACAAGTATTGCATAGGTGTTTAATGTTTTAAATTTGACATGATAAGACTTGCATCCTGACAGCCTGAGGCCAGCGACATATAGTGAACATTTAGAGGATCATGTGGTTAGTGTGCCGCTATTCAGACGTGTGCGCCGGCATTTGATTGTGAGAGAGAAGAGTGACATCTCAGACAACACTGCCTCATTGTTTTCGGCCCCGCTGTGCAGTAATGACAGAATCCCCATCAGAACCCCACAGCTAGAAAACACATATTTGCAGAGAGAGCAAGAGAAAGACCAACACACAGCATAGCAGCAGGTCTGCCTTTGTAAACAGCAATTAGTGATTGGGTGCCCAAGTTACTGGGCCTGCTCGGCCCAGAGGAGTGTTTCATAAAGGAAGATAACCAGTTACACCAGGCGAACTCCAGTAAATCAGGAAAATCTCTTCCATAAAGCAGGTGTAAATAAATTTGATGCGAGTTACAATGGAAACATATCCCTTCAGACAGTTTAATCTCAGACGGGTTTGTGTGTAGGCTTAGCTAGGTTTCATGTTTAACCAGTTTGTATAACAAATACACCTGCCAGTCTGAAGCACAATGTTTTCTCTAATGTTCCTCCCCTGCAGTCCCTCATTACTGCGGTGCTGTGAACACATGTCCAAGTTGGTGTCTTTTTTTTTTAAAACATGGTGGAAATAGGCCTGGGCAATAATTCAATATAAAAGGTTGTCATATTTCTTGACATGTTATTGATCAACAATTTCATGTTTTCCAAAGTAAAAATAGTTATTTTTCCTTGAAGACTTTTAATATGTCACAGCAGAAAAAGCACAAGTGTAAATAATAAAATGTGTGATGGATGAATTTAGTTTAGCTGCTTTAGTTTCAGGGTGCTGCTGTTGTGCATGTTAGCTCACTGTCACACAGTGTTACTGTTACACTTAATACTGTTAATATTAATGTTAATATATGTTGATGTTAATGTTTCCGGTCTTTGTGCTAAGCTAAGTTAACTGGCTGCTGGCTGTAGCTTTATATTTACACACAGACACCTTTCCTCATCCAACGCTCAGCAAGAAAGTGAAGGAGCGTTTCTCCCAAACTTTCGAAGTCTTCTTTTAAGTCATGAACTTGCAGTTATTAAGCCAGGCCTCTTTTGCTCTGGGTTGGCTTTATCAAACAGTTAAACTCTGGTTTGTGTTGTTAGGTTCACTCAAGTCAACCTTTTCCACATTAAGCCCCACTTCAAATTGAAAAATTCCCTCTATTTTTCCCAGAGGGAGCGAATTTGTCTTGCAGCCAGACGACACAGAACAAAACACAAACACACAGACAAAAACACATGCTTTTTTTTATAACTTCCTTTATGAAGTAGCTCCAGCTCTGAGGGCAACTTGTCAGAGAGGTTAAATATATGGAAATCACACTGAGGTTGTTAAGAAGTGAAAGGGGAAAAAAATCCATAAAGAGAGTTCTGCCTTTCTGAAGCAGCGGCCACAGCAACAATCGTAAAAGCTCAAACATGCAAATTCTTCCCTGATGGCTGATTTAATCCCCCAGTCTGCAACCTCACATTCTTCCTCGTTTTGCAGTTGCTTGTGAGAGACACAGAGAGAGAGAGAGAGAGAGAGAGAGAGAGAGAAAGAGAAAGGTGCTCAGTTTTTTTGGGGGGGAATAACTTTTTGGCTTGTTGCAGCCTGTAAAAGTGCCCCGGGTACCATTTATCTCTATGTTTTACTCCATTGCTTTGTAGAATACTCAACTCTGATTGGCCAATAAAGACAATCCGATGTATTAAATTTCTCAACATGTAACACTGGTAGAAAAAAGGGAGGGGCTGCTTCAGAGATTAGAGCTAAGGGTATATTTACTTACATTCATACAATTTACCGTATAATGTTACCACACTTTACACTGGAAAGCACAATATATACCTTCACCTACACCTACAACTACAAACTGACTCAGTTGTGTTGGTGTCATAACTGTTCGAGATAGCAGTAAAAGCCACGGCTCATTTTCATAGTTGCATCTTTGTATTTCATCCTTGTGAACTGGCACACGGCTAGAAAGACTCGACGCAATGACAGTACCACAGGATGTGTGTAAAATGTATTGAAGGTGTGATGACTTGATGTTTGCCATTTTGCATCAAGACAAACATTAGTCAGCAATCGTATGTGCTCCATAGCTAAATTATAAGATGCTTACCTGTCAGATAATGCCGCATAATACATGCTGCACTAATGTTCTTAATTAGACATTGAGATAAAACAAAACTTAATATTTTACAATTTCCCACAGGTCTCTCCATCACCCTGGCAACGTTACACCCACAGAAAGGGGAGGAGCCGAGTCCTGGCAGCATGGAAGTGGCTGGGACGCCAGGCTCAGCCCCGAGCCCTCAGAGCGAGTCAGTGACCAATGAGCTTCAGGAGCTGTCCCTTCAGCCTGCGCCCAACCTGCTGCCTCTACAGGAGCGCAAGAATGGTGAGGCGGTGTTGCATGCTTCTTTCCAGGACTTTAGTGTCACATTTTGGTGCGATGGGTTTTGGATGGATTGGTCAGAGAAGCCGGCACTCGAAATCTTTTTCAGCAAAAAATGTTCGTCCTGGCTCAGGTTTTTACTGAGGCACAGTCAAACTTGAGGCATGAACTGTAATGTCCAATGAAATACATGTAAGCACACGATTTAGCTAAGATCTTAACGCTACTGTTAATTTCACGAGGATAGTATAAACTACTGTAGGGTGTTTTGGCTTCCAGAATAACTTCTTTGCGTGTTTTTGATGCAAAGCTCTTCTTGACTTGAACACAGCCTCAGGCAGATGAATATGAAAACACTATTGACATATGAAAACTACAAGTCTACAGCACTGGTTTTTTTACATAATTTTCAAAAAGTTTCTTATTCCCTTTTTTTTTGTTTGACAAATAATACATTACATAACAGCCATCGTTTGGTAAGGAGTAGGACAGACGGCCTGGTTACTTTGCTTATCAGTGAAAGCTCTATTCTGGTGTCCCACTCATTATAACTGTGGCTTTTCATGTGTACATGTTTACTGCAGTGTAGCAGACATGTGGGGACATTTTGTATGTGTTGTGCATGTTGCCCTTTTGGCCTACCGACTTACTCATGGCTCTTTCGTGACCTGAGTTTGTAACGCAAACTTAAGAAATCACAGACGAACTACATTTTGTCACAGCTGTCCGCTTTCTTCACTACTGTATTTGGGTGTTTACAACATCAAGCTTATACTTATAGATTCCCCCCACCCCCACCCCACCCACCCCGGCTATAGGAACAGTTCTTTGTCTGAGCTACTGTGCGAATGTGCAGGAAACACTGTTCCATCACTTTACAGACCTTGCAGGCCCGTGCTCTTGCTTCCATCTCAAGTGAATATTTTGGCTTTGCACTACTCATCCTTCGCAGAGGTGGCCTGTTTCCAACATAAATTCCTCCAAACTAAAAAAAGTGTGCGTGTAGAACATGTTACGTAAGTTGAGGCTAAGTAGAAAGTGGGAAAAACCACTTATCTGAGAGACAGAAGTTAAATGTCAGATGTGTCTGTATGTCTTGTTCATTTGTCAGTGGAGAGCTTACCTCACCACAGAGGGCGTTCAAAGGCAAGAGAGACATAGAGATTTAAGTGCTAAGGTGTGTGTTTGTGTGTGTGTATGTGTGTGTGTGTGTGTGTGTGTGTGTGTGTGTGTGTGTGTGTGTGTGTGTGTGTACGTACGTACAGTGTGTGTACAGAAGGCTGTGTGCACTGAAGTCTCCAGAAAGAAGGGAGTAAAGAAGATGCTGTACCTAATTGGCTTGCTCCTCTGTGCTGACCTCCTGTTACAGTAGATTAGAGTGTGCTGCACATTTGCTGCTTAAGACTCTGTAGGCCTTTTTGTGTCTGGAGTTAGCTTAAACCACTTGGCTCTCTGTGCAGAGGAACGTGCATCGGCTTCCCTTGGGCTGAATTGCTGTGGGGAACTAGAGTTCGCTGCATTTATGTATTTGGTTTGTTAAGGTTCACACTGCCAAAGTGAATCAGACCCTACAAATAAAAGTCACAAGCGTTTGTCTAACATGAGTTTTTGTTGATATAAAATAATCTGATTCAAGTCTTTGTAAGTTAAGCATAACATCCTCTCTCTAATGTTAATGAGTAACGGGTGAATATTGGCGCACAGGGCTGAAATTACAAGTCAATCAATCCATTAGTTGATCAACAGAACATTAGCTAACAACGATTTTGATAATTAATTAACTGTTGAAGTACTTTTTCAGGGAGAAATGTCAAACATTAGCTGATTCTAGCTTCTCAGATGGATTTGGTGCTCGTTTGTATATCACTGTATGCCTTTGTATATATGACATGAAGCACTTTGAACTACCTTGTTGTTGAAAGTTGTCGTTCCTCATAAATTACCTACTTCCTGATTTTCGATTTGTCGGCTAAAACAAGAAATTTGAAAGGTGTAGCTCTAAGCTCTGGCACATTATGATGGGGGTTTCTCACAACTTCAACAATCATTAGATCAGATTAAAGTTAGTCCATGGTTCATGTTGTTATGTTTTATTCCAAGAACCAACAACTGCTGGCTAGCAGATGTAAACATCTGTCTCCTTATACGCATAAAGTCTGTTTTGAGGTTGTTTCCTGTTGTTCCTTCAGATTATGTCATCACATCTAAAATAACACACGACAACTGGGAAGGTAAAACGTTAACACTCACATTTTCAATTGACTTACTGCAGCTATTTAGTGCCACACGATCTCCTGTTCTGACTTGGTTCTACTAAACTGCTCTAAGCATGAGTGATGGGGAAGCATCCAGGAAAAAAAAAAAACAAATATAATCACACCCACAGAAAAGTAGGTGCACTTTGGTTTGTTTGACTTCATCTCTTCAACATGACAAACTGTCTGAATGTTTCTGCCACCAAGTCAGACACAATGAGACACAGTCTGTTAGATAAGCGAGATATCGGCACATTGGTCAGCCCTGGCACAGTGTGAGTGTTACTTGCACACAAACACACACCTTGCCATATCGGAAGACTCAGCCACCCTGGCCATTGTTCCAAGCTAGGCGTTGGTTACCCGGTTTTATGGAGACAGAGTTGGTGGACCTGCTGTTGATTTGTCAGGAGAGGAAGGTTAAGCAAGGTTAGACCAGTGAATGATTTACCATCTTTGGGGGGGGGGGGGGGGGCAGTCGGAATAATGCACAATAAATATATATACAATAAAAATCTGCAGCAGAAACAGAACTTGAAGCACTGTACAGCTGGCTGTAACAATAGACTGCAATAGAATTAATAAAAGCAGAGGAAACTGTATTTATATACATGACCAGTATTTCAGGTAATGTTTACATCATTTAAGAAATGTTTCAGAACGGGCCTGTGACGAGTAGTCACAGGACTGTGTTTACCTCACAGAAACACACAAAGACACACACTCTCTCACACAGCCTCAGGCCACCACTCCCAAATTTAAACAACCCCTGCTCTTATTGGCCTATTCCGTATACACTTCATTCTTCTAGCCAGAAACAAACGTGTTGCTGCAGGTACTCCTGCAGCTAATGTAGCACGAAGATGCTTTCAGAGCACTGGGGAGATGCATGGCATGTGAATTTCTATATGCATACAGAACATCTGTGGCGATAAAACAGTGCGGAATGCCCACATAGTAAAGCTTATCAAAGTTTTATCTCTGACAACACGTTATGCAATCTGTTTATTGCACACGTTTCCTTCCTCAGTAACAGACGAGTGCTGCAGATTTATTGTTAAACACGTGTGTGTGTGTGTGTATATATATATATAGTATATATATAGAGAGAGGTGACATGTTTTTCAGGATGAGGATGAGAGACAAATGCTTAGGTCATTGTGCATTGGTGTGCAAGTGTGTGGGTGTGAGAGAGTCAGCTTTTATTCAAGATTTAACAACTGACACCAGAGAATGGCCTTAAAAAGCAGTTTGCGTTTCCTGTCCTCCCAGTCACAAACATGCCACTGAATTGTCCCACAGCAAACAAAAGGCGATCACGGTTGTTTAATGATGTGATTCGGATCATTCAAAACTTTGAGGTGGAGAAGCTAGTTTGAGTGTGGGAGTGTGGGTTGCCAAGGCAGGAGAAGAAGGAGGAGGAAGGGGAAGAGAAGAGGAGGAGGAGGTCATGTCTGAAATGGCAGTATTGCATAACTTCTCAGAGACGGAACAGAAGGAAAGCGAGGGAAAATGGAAAGCAAGAAAGGGGGTGTGTGTTACTTGTGTTTAAGGAGGTGAGGCTTGGTTTTCTATTTTTCAGTTTTTACTTCAGAGAGAAAGCGAGAGAGAGAGAGAGAGAAAGAGAGAGAGAGAGAGAGAGAGAGACAGAGAAAAGGAGAGACCAAAAGTTTTTTTTTTTTTTCATTATTTATTTTTCAGAGGAGCTCAAGAGAAAAGTTCACATGAGCAGGAGGGAAAAAAAAGGTGTTGCCACAGAGAGTCTGGAAACCCATGGGTGGACCTTGTTGTTATCCAAGGAGCAATAAGGGACAGGCACACAGACCGACACACGCCCTCTCTGACGGGGTGTGCACACACTTGTAGACAGACAATCCAGAGAAAGGGAATGTGAGGTGCGCTGCTACCTGTGGAGTACCAGCTGCCGGTGAGAGGAAAACGTGTTTTAATGTGGCTTTTCTCTTGCTGGACTTCTCTTCAGCCTTCTACCGCTGTTGTGTTTTTTTTTCCACACTGTTAACTTTGCATGTGTCGGGAGTGTGAGTCGCTAAACTTGCCGGGAGGGTGAAGCTTCCCTTCAGCATGGTGCAGAGGGATATGACTATCCAGTCAGGTAATATCCATTTCAGTGCGCTGTTTTCTGCTTTTATGTCTTTGAAGAATAATGACAGTGACTGAAAGTTAACTGTGAAGTCTAACTTAAGCTGAACTTAACCGACTGCAGGTGTGGTGTGAGTTCTTGCATGTGTCAGTAAATGTTGGGTGTATTGACACTGCAGTCTTAAGAGCTGGTTTATTTGTTCGTATGAGAATAGCTGCTCTGCTACACAGCTGCAAAAACTCACAAACTTTAAATATTCTTTTCCTGAGACACATACCTTTACTGTCAACCAAACCTGCTGGTATTTAGGGTTGGAAACAGTGATAAGCTTGATCACAGTTTTACTGGAAGCTCGTTGAGACCGCACTGAAGATAATTGCAGCTACAAAGGAAAACTTCAATTAAAAGAAGAAATAAACCGCAGCCCTCCAGATGTTACCAAATTGGATAATGATGTCGAGTGTGATGCTGTAAAAGCATTTCTTTCATAAGTCTGTGTCAGAGGCACATAAAGCATGCAGCGTGTACATCAGTGTGTAAATGTAGTTTTTAAGAGTTGAACTTAAAGGGTCTCCAGGAGAAAGGGAACAGGCGGAGCAGGAACAGGATCCGTCCTGGCCAGATGAATAGGTGGAGCAGGTCAAAAG